ACATATACATATACATATACATATGTGTATATATATATACATATACATATCAAACTACAGATCTCAATATATAAATATATTAAAGAGAAGTGTTGTTTGATATATGTATATATACACATATATGCATAACAAAAGTGTTACTCTACCTGATTTTCTACCGAGATTTACTTTATCATGTTCTTTTTTGCTGCCATAGAGAAGTAGCACACTTAAGGTTGCAGGTCTGCCTGCAGCTGAAAGCGAGTTCATTTACAGTTCTGAGGACAATACAATAAAGTCATCTGGCTGATGTCATGACAGCATTTAATGTACTGTAAATGAAAACTGCAGATAATATTTTTTAAGTATGGCGGTTGATAATTCAGAATTAAGGGGACAGAGAGGACAAGGGAACATTTCACAAAAATTATGATGCAAGGTGCAGCCAATAAGAAAGCATTAAAAAAAATAATTAAAAGTCAAGAAGGATTTGGCAAGACTCACCTATTAAGTAGGAGTGTGTGTACTTAGCAATGTAGTACACAAACACCAGAATCTAAGGGCAAAGAGAATTTGACGAAAGTTACTGTTTTTTGTTGTCATGAACATAAAGTAAGACAAGAGGGTGAAGAAATAGAAAAGCAAGTACATGTAAGAGCTGCAGCTTACAAAGTAGAGATATTCATGTTGTCTGTACACATTCAATCTAAAACATACCATGTTAAATAAAGCTATCTTAAACATTCTGTAAAAATGCAATTTTCTGTGATGCTTTTTTAACCCACTCCCATTGGTAAAAGGGCTGCCCCTTCCAAAGCTATGATTCCTAGGCATGTCTGAGACAGCCTAAAAACAAATTGCACAAGGTACAAACTTGTTAACAATACTGTTATTTTCTGCCATAAGCTACTGTAGTCTGTCCTCTGCACAGAATGCCTCCAAACCAAGTGATGAACTATCATATACAGCAATCCAAGAAAACCTTTTTCACACAGAAATAATTGCTAGTAACAATAACAAATGTTCCTAGTCTATGCAATTTCTGTCACATCTCTGCTTACTTAGATTTTGCAGCAGATCATGTTTCTGGAGTGGTAACAAGTTGCTTTTTTAAATTATTTTTTATTATTATTTTTTATTAAATCTTCCAGCTGTGTAAAACAGCATGTATTATTATTGCTAGCAAACATAACACGGATATGTTATGAAAGGGTGGGACAGAGACTTTTATATAGTATCATGTATTCATGTCATAGGATTCTGCTCCACAGTTGTACTTTTCATGACAGGTGGTACAACTACATCATGAATTATCACAGTAATATGAAACTTTGCTGAAATTTATAAATTCTGAGACAGACAAAAGCCTAGTGTTTATCACTGGAGCACATCCCATTTTTAGCTAGGAGACGTACTGAAAATATCATTTCATCTTCAGTGAATGAGTGAATTTGGCATTTTTCTGACTATTGCATATCCTTATTTACTAATTTTGATTAAAAGGATAATTTTCTCAAATTATACTCTGTGCAGATTTTCAGCTTCAGGTACGTGTTTATTTATTTTTTTTTTATTTTACTGAGTTGGAAAGTCATAAAATCCTTTTTAAAATTGAATCCACAGCCCCACCAAATATACTATCAAATTTTCTGTATTTTTTCTAAAATATTATGATAAAAAATACAATTGTTTTAAGCTCTTTAAGAACTCAGAACAATTCCTGGCATCTTTGAGAAAGCTCTGAATATATTTTTACATTATTTTTTTTTTAATAGGATAAAATACACCAGTAAAACCACGAAATGAGGACTTGTAAATATAAGTAATATATAGAATATTCATTTGGAAAGGGCCTGCTACTGATGGAATGTTGTATTTTTGTTGTCTGTAATAATTTCCTCTGTTCTGACAGGCTTAATCTTCTCACATCTGATACGGGAGCAATATCAGAAAAGATATCTATCAAGAAATATATCCAATTAAGGAAAACTATATGAAAACCTTCCATTTAGCTGTCTGTCTTCAGGCTGATAGCAGTTAATTTGCTGTTTATGTGTTACAGAGCAGATAATAACACATCCTGTGCAGTCTGTTGTATTTTTGGGGAAGAATCCAAGACTTTGTCACTGCTAAAGAATGTGCCTTTTTCAGAACTGCCAATAAAAGAAGAGATGCACCAAAGACACTTGAACATGTAAACAAACATGATAGTGTTTTTGCAGATTTCGGGGAGGATCCTGGCTGATTATGGCATGGTAGTGCTGTGTTAGGGTCATGGGTAGAACTAGCTACAGAGCTTAGATTCTGAAGTACATCTTATTTTTCTTAGACAAAATTCCCTTGGTCCCAAGGAAGTCATGGAGGAAAAAAAAAAAAAAAGTGAATAAATGTATCTATATAGTGCATGTGCCCTTGCTGATTGTAAACAAAGTTTTATTTCTCTATATACTTAGTATGAAAAAAGTGAATATATGTGAAACTTAAAGACTATTGTTACTTTGAGCCTTTTTACTTGGAAGAATTACTTACTGATATATATATCAGTATATATATATATACACACACATATTAAGAGCATTTGAGTTAAATACCAAACCTAATAATTTTTTCTAGGTAAAAATTGAGTACCTGTAGAAAATTTGCTGTTATTCATAGAATCATATACTCACAGAATCACAGAATATCCCAAGTTGGCAGAAACCCACAAGGGTTTTGTCCAACCCCTGGCTCCACACAGAGACACCCAAAAAATCAGACCATGTGGAACATTGTCCAAACACTTCTTGAAATCTGGTAGGATTGGTGTCATGACCACTGCTCTGGGAAGCCTGTCGCAATGTCCAACCACTCTCTCGGTGAAGAACTTTTTCCTAACACCCAGCCTGACTCTCTGCTGATGCAGCTTCCTTGGGTCTTACCAAATACCTAATGGTAATTGCATTAATGTTCATCTTTCTTAATGTAGGCACAATACTGCCTCCTACTTCAGATTGACTAATGTCATTATTAGCATGTTTTTATTGACTTGGAAGCATATTTACCATCAACATTTAAAATATGGAAATATATTGATTCTCGTGGTAATTTTATCTTGCCTGTAAAAATAATATAAATACTTATGTATCTATCCAGATAGCAGATCGTGTAACCTCATCCAGGCTGTCTGGCCCAGGTTACTACTAAACCTTGCCCAGGCTGAATCTAAGAGAGGGCAACTTGACATTGACAGGCTGTATGTACTGTGGGACAATGCTTGCATATACATTGCTCCTGCTTATCAGTACACATGCAGCCAGCTTTATTGGATAATACAGGGTACAGTGACAGGATCAACTGAATGTGTTGGTATCACTAGGTACCTTGCACATTCAGAACTTCATGAAGGTTCTGGTACTTCACCTCTAGCATAAAAAACAGCTTCTAGATCTCAGTTTGAGACTGCAGACAACCTTCAGAAAAGGCTTAGGTGAAACAGCTTTGCTTGAAGTGAAAGTTTTCTGAAACACAAAACTCCTAGCAGTAATCTTTTAATCTCTTGGTTGGTTTCCTTACAAGCCCTAATTCTGCAGTCTTCTGTTCAGACCAACCAAAGCATCATAGACAAAAATCAATGAAAAATACTACAAAAAATACTACTTTGCAATGGTATGGTTTGTTCTCTCCTCCAAATCCCCCTTCCCTCCCCCCTTCCTAGGTCACTTTCAATGCTTTCCTTTGCTCTGAATTGTGACTCCATTTTCTCTTCTCCTCCTCATTAGAAACATTCTTCTTTATGGAGACTTCTTCCCTTCTAAACTGGGATAAGAAACCTTCACAGGTAATATTCTGGCGCCTATGAGTAATAATAAAGGAAATACATAAAAGTTTCAGGGTCATAGATACATAAAAGTTTCAGGGTCAAGCATAGTGAAAAAAACTAGAAAGAAACATAGTGGGTAATACTGATAGTAGGAGGACAGTTGGACTAGATGATCTAGGTCTTTTCCAACCTCAATGATTCTGTGATTCTAAGAGGATGACATTTGTTCCTCAGAAAAACATTCAGTAGAGGCAGAGAGAGGAAACCTCATGAATGTAATGGAATTTTTCCAAAATTTGCATGTGCAGACATCAGCATTTTTGTATATAGCTGTATTTGTATACATCTTCAGTTCTTCCTCTACTGATTTATAAGGTTTCTTTTCATTTCTTTTCTTTTTTTCATCTCTCTTCTTTCTCCTGCATGTCTCATTCTGAAGGGTAATTCGAGTTTTTATTTCCACCAACTACAGGGTTCTGCAGGTGTCAAGGAGAACATTGCTGAAGACAGAAGATTTGTAAAGCAGACCTGAAACCTCTGACTAGCCCATTATTTAAGCCAGGCCCTAAAATGAACACAAAGAAAATTATGATTCAGTGATAATTTTATTACAGAAATGTTTGAAATAAAATAAATCAATGAAGATCTGAGGAAAATGAAAATATTTATAAGGTTTCTTAGAAACTCAGGGTGAAAGAAGACTGTCAGAAAAATCTTGATTTAAGGTACAGAGCTGTTGAATTTTAAAATTGTGATGAAAATAACTTCACATGAGAAAGCACATGAGAGTTAAAGAAATTATGTCTCTCTGTTATCATCCTATGTAGAGTACAGATAATTCTGAAAACTTATGCTTGGACTTATTCTCATGCCTGTAGGTACATGCCTGTGCATATGTACAGATTAATGCTATCCAGATCTGGCTTTGGTTGCTTGGATGCTTATAAAAATGAATTCTGCATTTTTTATATCAAATATTTCAAATATAGGACTGAAAGGAAATACTGAATCATAGTCTGAAAAAAAAATGTCTGTTATAGTACAGGTTTTACTTCAGTTTTGAGCCCAGCTAAATTCATGTTGCTGTTACAAGGAAATGATTGTTTATATCTCTGTGTGCATTGTTTATATCATCCTGTGTGTACTGGAAAATTGGCAACAATACCTTGTAATCCATCAGTTGTTTTGAGTCAGGGGACGGTGCATCTTGAACTGCAGGACGAAGGATTATACAGAGTCACAAAATATTACACCCCTCAGAGATGAATTAACCTAATAACAGAAGCTTTACACAAACTTTGCAGAAATATGCAGAACAGTGAGTTCTCAGACATTAAATTGTATTAAAGTATTTTTTTTCTTTTATCCATTTAAACTGACATCATTTTATTCAGTTAACTGAAGAGTCATGATTGGAAACAGCCACAGTGAAAAAGGAGGCTTTCTGAGAGGGCAGTGTTAAGAGATAGGAAATATAAATAACTTAGCTATTTTTGACATAAAGTTGCAATGTGGTTACACTCAACTTCACACAGTATGCAACAACGACAGTACTCTTTAAAATTCACTAAGCAATTATATATAAACGTATTATCAACCAATTGTGCATTGGTATATGGTTAATGCGTCACTGCTGTCTAAATAATTACCCTACTCGAGATTTTTGTAATTCAAGATTTTGTCATTTTCAAACAAAGTTAACACTTGCAAATCAACCCATGGGCCATTTTTCTGAATTCTGAAGATATTGTATGACCCCAAGAGAGGTGGGTGCTTAGGATGTAGCAAATGAACCACCCTGAACCTTTTATTTTCTGCCTCGATATGGGTGACCAACCGTTTCTGGGAACGCAGAACACATTACACCTCTGAATCTGCTGAAGGAAGTTTCTCTGTACATTTGAATTATAGCTTTACATGTATCTCAGTGTTCAATTTTTGTTGTCAATTGTCTGGAGAAAAGAACATCTTTCTGCAACATCATCTTGCAAATTATTAGTAGGAATTAGAAAAATATGAAGAGTTATAATGAATGAAGATTCTGAGATATAAATAGTTATAATTCAAGTTAATGGTGATTATGACTCAGGAAATGTGTATTCCAGGCAAATTGTAGGTTCTCTGTTTAATGATGCCTGTGACAATAGAAACAATATTATTACTCTGCTAGCTTTGGCAAATGTAAGAAAATCTCATGTCTGGCAAAGAGATTACACATTTCCTGTTGTTTATATTATTTCTTTTTAGGTAAAGAGAAAAGCTTAATTCTAGTTTAATTTCATTTGCTCTTATTTCCTATGCTGAGGAAAATTACAAGACCTGCATTTTTCTGTCCTGTGAAAAAGGTATTTTCACTACAATTTCACGTTTGCAGTATGGCTGGAGGGAATATAATATCCTCTCCACCAGCATACAAAGCCAGGTGGGTTTTTGTTTGTTTGCTTGTTTTTGTTTTGTTTGGTTTGGTTTGGTTTTATTTCTCCCTCTTCCTACTTGTAAGGTTGATAGTAAATGATTGCAATATTAAAAAATAAATAAATAATAATCCCTCTGTTTTCATTCTATAGCATTATTTCAACAGATCTAGTCATATACTTGAAACCTTTACCCACAACTGGTATTCACAGGAATTTCTGAACAGCTAAGGGGCCACAATGTATGTCAGCTCCCTACTGTTCTGTGTATGTCTCCTGCCAGTGATTTCTGAGACACTATTTGGAATTTGCTAAACTTAGCTGGACCTGCAGCTATCAGCATGATTTTAGCAGCCTCATTCTTTGAGCTAGCCATTAACATGAGGAAGACTCCAGTCACTTGGGAAGAGTAACAAACTATGTGTTCACGTACCTATGTGCCTCAGTGCATAATAAAGCACTTTGCTTTCAAAAACCCTCCATGCCTTTCCTCTATCTCTCAAGTGACAGCAACAACATCTCTGAGCCAGCAAGTCTATAGCCTACATTAAAGTGGTTAAATTATCCTGTCACTAATGGAAGAGAAACAGCCAAGCACAGGCCCCTTCAGTCCTGTCACAAAAACACAGGCACTGAGTATGCTGGTAGAAATTACCATAATCGCATATTACTGAGCCAAGAATAACAGAAACTCTCTCTTTTACATCACATCTGACTTTAATTTAAGCAGCTCAGGTTTCTGCAGGGATTATACATTGTTTAGTCTCCAGTAGAAAGCTGGTCTTTCAGTAAATAGTAACCAGAATAATGTCAATCAACTTTGTAATAAAATAGTGCATGACAAGTCATATCAGGAAATTCAGTGTTACTTATTAAGAATGCTAGATCGCTTTTTCATGATTTCTTTTGTTAATAAAGTGGTGATTGAATTAATCCTGTGTTCAGTGAACTGTAACACCATGAAAGACCACCAGTAAATGCAAGAGGTAAAAGTAGCACTAAATTAAAAGTCATATGTTCTTCCAATGTAAGTGCACATATAAAAGTGTAAGGGTCTATTGACATGCTTCTCTGGTAACATACATCCATGCACACATGCAAAGAGAACTGAAATATCCCTGCAGAACATCTTCAACACAAAATCCTATTCAATTAGGATAAAACAGCTAATCAGAAAGCTCTTCTGTAACAACATTGCTCAACAAAAATAAAATTCTAGCTCATCTGTAACACGAGTCAGAGTTTCTCAACCTTTTCTGTCTCCCTCCTTTACTTTGAGGCTGGAGGCTTTGGACACAGACAACGATCATAGCAGCTGTGCTATGCAGGAGCTGTGGATACAAGTGTGGGCAAGGCAGGCTAGCAGGAAAGCAGGTGGGAAAATCATTAGTTCTATGTCCAAGGCCATTAACTGAGTGGGCAGCAAGAAAAGACTCGATTGTCAAAAGAATGAGGAAGAATACCTTGTCTATACCTGGCCTGGATTTTATCTTAAAGTGTTAATGAAAAACCATTTTGACTACCCAGAGCCTCTTCCTTGGTACTTTTCTTCTTAGTATTGCAAGGTTCACATCTCTCATGTCTATGCACTAAATAAATAAATAAATAAAATTACTGGTATATTACTTCAGCCTACTGGATTGCATGCAACAGTTAGACCAAAAAAAAAAAAAAATTAAATTTAGACCAGCAAAATTTTAAATTCTTTCAGCATACTTCATTCAGGGAAGTCCCTACACACCCTCCCAGCAAAATCCGTTGCACTGTTGCCAGTGCAGGCTGTGTCAATATTACAAAAGCTTGTTGCAAGAGCAGAGGCAGAGCTATCCTTCTTGGCCCTATGGCCACAAGCAAGTACCCACCACATCAGCCAAGGCAGAAGAGAGAGGAAGAGCAAGAAGTCAGGCCTTGTTTGGCCAATGCTTGAACTGGTGAGTGCCGAGTCAGCCTGCTGCTTACAGATGAGAATAAACCTGAGCTACTGCCTCTCTGGGACCCAAAGTACCCCTGCAACATTATTATTTAGCATAGATCATATTTACGGGGCCTGTGAACCTACAATTTACAGGTGGTGGGAGAATGAAGAGCACAAAAGATTTGCTACAGGCAAGCGATAATTTTTGGCAGAGAACAGATTTTGTTTGAGCTCTGATAATAGAAGACAGAGCTCCTATTAGTATATTCTCCTGACAGGTAATGAGGCATTCAGAATTATTTCTGCAGCCTGTGAAGCACACGGTATCAGACATCCTGATTTTAAGAGACCAATGCAAAGCAGAAGAAAGTGCCTCTACTCCTTAAATTCTGAAGCTCGTAGAAGTTATAAAAATAAAAGGCAAGTTATTTGTTTCAGGGGTCAGGATGCAGCTCTGGTTAGGTCTACTGTTGAAGCTGCCCCCAAACTCTTCTGTTTTATTAACTCTCAGTCTGCGATGTGAGTAAGGCTCCCTGCAAAATCTTCACTGCATCTGAAACAAACAAAGAGATGATTTCACTAAAGAACTTTTACTCGCTTTAATGAAGATGCCACAATACAAGCCTCTGCTGCATTTTAAATGTCCTTTCACTTGAAGTGTGTGCTGTTATGTTTTATGTTTGTTATTGCTGGTTTTTTTGTTGTTGTTTTTTGTTTGTTTGTTTGTTTTTTTCAAAGCAGTGATTTGAGCTTTTCAATATAAAATTAAAAGTTGTCAAACATTCTTAAATTACAAATTAGGCAAATTGGGTTCAGCAGCACTCAGGAGGTCAAGGTTGCTGTCTGTAACTTCCGAAATTAATCCAGGAAGGAAATCTGCAGTTTCACCCTGAGAGCAAGACAGTCTCATGTTGTGTCTGGGCCTTGGAAATGAGAGTCAGGACTCTGCTAAAAAGATATTAAACATACAGACCATTCACCCAAAGACAGAATCTTTATGCAGATTTATAAAAAAGCTTGCAGTTAAATGCAAACTGAAACACTTCTGAGCAAAACAACTGCTCACTGTTAAATCTACTTCATCTGAAATGACCATGTACCTGCAGATAGCTTAAATGATTAATTACACAGACCATATTATGGTCTACAACATACATAAATAGATTTAGATGAAACATTATCATGTAAAAGGATATGTGGAAGATTGTCCAGGATTTCTGAGCAAATTAATATACACTATTTTCATGATATTAGAAGACAATTCATATAATCCACCCATGTGTAAATTTTAGACCTTATAAATGCTAGTTTCAGCTTATATTTCACATTCTATTATTGCAGAGGTCTCTGAAGCATAAAAGTGTTGTATATAAGAACACCATGTAAAATTTGCATTTCTATCAGAAGCTATTAAATTCTTTATGGGAGTGCTCTGTAATTATTTTTCACCTTCAGAAAGGAACCAGCTATTTGTTAATATAGAAAGCTATTCTTTTACTTTGGTGAATGAGAAACTGAGGTAATCAAGTTGCACAGTTTATCAAGACTCACTCAGTATCACCCCTTCATTATCTTACCATTGCTCAATACCATTTGCCAACAATTCTCACTTAGGGGATTGTGCCAATGGAATTCTGGAATTTGCTGTGATTGTGGAGACTATTTTAAGCTGTGTTGTTACATAGCCAAGTGATGTCAATGTGACACCTTCACCAGTTGTCACCTCCTTTGAAACACTAGACTTCAAAACCAGCTGGATCATTTGTGTTGTTCCAACTCCACCTTATCCAGGATTTCCTTGCATGAGAGACTCTCAAGTCAGTTGTTTGCATCGTAGATCTTTCATAGAACAAAAAAGTCAAGACTCACCAAGGCTTTCTGGGGGAAAATTATCAAGAAATTTCTTTCACTTGGTAGTATCTGATATTTTCTTTTTAACGCTTCTTCAGATGAAGGGAATCTATATTCTGCTACATGAATAGAAATGTACCTGCTTGTTGACACTCGTACAACTGCCAGATGAAAACTTGATGAGGTCAATTCATGTTATGTAGCCATCCTCTTGGTTCCAGAAAACTTACTTCCTTGAAATGTGTATGAAGAAGTCTTACCTATATTCACAAGACAAAGGAAATACATAAAAATTGGGCTGAATCATAGTAAAGAGCAGTCTAGAGGTTACAGCTGGGGTAAAGAGAAGGGCAAGGCATGTACAACAAGGTCTGCCTCCTTTCACCTTCCAGTCAGCTGCACTCTTGAGATTTCAAGGCAGAGGCTTAATCAAGAAGATGCACAGATCCTTCTTTGAAACTCCTGGGGTCCAGCAGACCTCCCGCCTCAATGAGTCTCTCTGCTTGTTCATTCATCAGCTCTATGTGGAATAAACTCCTCAAGACTGATGATGTCATGTCATTCAGAAAGAGATGAGCATTTAAATAATCTTACTTAAAATTATTTGACCAAGCAAAACAGTGAGATTAACACATTAACATGTCGATTTGTGACATCCTGACTGATATAGTAAAAACCAGCACATTCATTTATCTTTCTTTATACCTTCACTTAATACAAGAAGAAGTTATCATCTACTACTGTCATAGCACTGGCAAAAGAGTCTTACAAAACATTTAACCTCATGGTTATTTATCTCAAAAGAATACAGAGTATAATTGTGTGAAAAGAAATTTGGGGACATTTCACTTTTGCAAATATAGTAACTTCAATCATTTTTGCATTCTCTCCAATTAGTTTTTTTTTGTAATATATGGCCAATGACAGTGTTATAACTAATGTTCTTTCCTACAACACATCATATAAAATTGAAATATTTAATTACGAATATATTTAATAGCCCATGAGATAAGTACTTTTATTTCATAATATTAATTCTTAATTATTCATTCTTTCATTAATTATAATGATACATTTTATCCGTGGAAAATAAATCTGTCCCTTTGTGAAGGAGAGCTGTACTGTATTCTCATCTTTCCTATGCTGATGTTTAAAAATTGTGGATTAACCTATACAAATATATATATATATAAACAAAATCACTGTTGGTATATTAATAACTGTAGCTGTTGTTTTGTTTTTTTGTTTTGTTTTGTTTTGTTTTAAAGCTTATGCTCTCTAAAAAAATAGCTTCTACTCAAAGTTTCTATGAAGTATATTTAGCCTTATTTAGACATTTAAAAATAATGGTACAATAGTTCAGCGGCATTCCTTAAGACATTAAAGTGGTTCTGCAGGAGGAAAATGTACTGTCAACAGCACATACAGATAGATAAGACTAGACATTCAATGACACTTAGCTGATGATATCAGCTACTAATGTACCTTTACCGTTGTAGTCTAAAAAATTGCACCTTAATCTTTAATATTTAATTATAAGCATCTCAGAATTTTAAATATATAGGTATATGTATATTTATGTACTTATTATTAAATATTTATATATATTACTAATATTAATGATATGTATAAATAATATACATTAATGTATATAATTATATATATATGTTTATTTATTTATATATATTTGTTTATTAATAATATATGTAAATATTTGTATATATTATTATTAAATATACATTATGTAATATATATATTAAAATAAAATATATTTTTATTTTTATATATATACCATATTTATATATATTTTAGATATATAAATATTTTGAAGTTTACTGAAAGAACCTTGCACTGTAAATGGTCCATAGACTTTTTTTTTTTTTTCTAAACATGCTTGTTCAATAGAACAGCAAAAAAAAATGCCATGAGTAAACAGTCAATGTCTTTCAATATGCTGGATTTTTGGAAGGCTGATCCAAAGCTCAGCAGAATCCTTGGGAGTCTTTCTATATCATTTACTGGGTGTTAGGGAATGTTCCAAATATTTAGTTACATAAACAATTATTTTGGATAATAGGTCAAGTTAAAAAAAAAAAAAAAGTCAGTTAATACTTGCAATTAGATTCCACCAATGTTATGTAGATCTATTGTTTATCCATCTTTGAATAAAAGTTATTCTGCATTTAAGCTTATTCAGTAAATCCTTACTTTCCATATCTTACTTTTAATACAGTGCAAGAAAATTAAACATCAGTATACAGACCTGAGCATAAAGATTAACATGTATAAAACCATGTACATGCAGAAACCATTACTGTGTGTTTATTGTTTTGGTATACCACAGGACTGTTTTATGAAATATGAATGAACTACAAACACAGAATAAGCAAAGATGGCTCTTTTGAATCAAGTTAATCACTTTGTTTTATAGTTATATTAGTATATAACTATAGTATATAATAGTTATATTATTACCCGTCAAAAGAACAATCCTCTGCTTGGGTTCTTTCTCTGTCACTGTAATTCCAGTTTCTGCAGAAATAAAGGTCCTTGAAACAGACTTGCTTATTAGAGCAAGATTTGATCTATGCATACCATTGCTCAAGATACATTCATTTTAATGTTCATATTCCATTTCATGATTTTAATGAACATTGTTTAAAACTTTTAAAATGATAAAATTTCCAGTAGTATGACTTTCTGTAGAGCACATTTCTCCTATCCAGCAGAAAACCTGACTAGCTTTTGGTTATATCTGGTTGAATTGTATGTTACATGGTTAAAAATTAATAACCCTTTGCTTTGTTATGAATACTTTCTTAAGATGATTTTTTTTTTTCTTTGAATGTCATGTAGGATACTTATAGATAGTAACACTATAGGTAGAAGTATACATTCATCCATTGAATTTTTATCAGATATTAATGAAAATGATCCAGATATTACCAATAACTATTAAGTATTCTTAGTTCTATTCTAAATTCTTTATATGGTTCTAGGCCACATAACAACCTCTTTTGTAACACTAATACTTTTTTCTTTGTTAGAGGAACACCTAAATAAAAGGGTAAATAGCTGGATAACAATCAGTGGCATGTGTCTGCCCTATAGAGACGATGATTCCCTTTGACTGCAACCCCATGAGTGGTGGACTACATTTCATTCATGGTTCATGTTGGAGCTTTCTGTTTGTGTGTTGAAGTGTTAGGAAAAAAAAAAAAAAAAGCATATTTTCTGCTAAAAACAACAACAAAACAGTAAAGTTTTTCCTGCATTTTTATATTTTTTAAAGGAGCTTTAAACAAATCTATGGGCTTTATTATCTATTGTTTGCTTGTTAAATATGTACATCTTCTGTTTTAAGTTCCAGTAATCATCATATTAAATTTAGCATGTCTTGCACTCAAGTCAGTAACACAAATTTACTGACCACTCCATTATACAACTTGCATCACACTTAATTAGGAAATTCTGTCCATTTGTTAGCACAGTGCTTTACATAAGCAGCACATTAAACTATTGAGTTCCTCTTTGAGAACCCATCTCAAATGTTTTATCTGACATTACAAAATTTATGTCTGCAATAAGTGGGTTGCAGTAGTCATTAAAAGGCTGTAAATTTCAAAGCTGTGAATACACACACAACTGTGTGAAATACGTGTTTGTGAAGCTCTGAAAAGCAACTCTACCCTGTTTCTAAAATCATTATTGATTTTTTCTGTCTTTTAAGTTGTTAGCTGTTGAAATTGTAAAGAATCCTTTAGTCTGCATGAAATGAAGTAGGAAAGGGGGACAATTTATGTCAAAATTTGATGAAGGGAAGATTTTAATTGTGTGCAGAATGAGAAAACAAAGTGTATTCTTTGAACAAGCTAAATAGATCGTTCCAAAACTTTTCTTCTCCAAAGAAGGATTTTTTCTTTGTATTGACCCAGATGTAAACCAATATATACTTAATTGTATACCTTATCACTTCTAAGTGATAAAGTTGTTAGAGAGCGAATACTGTGGTCTTGACCTGGACTGTGATTTGAATGCCTAAACAGGCATTTTTGTTAAAAAAAAAAAAAAAAAAAAAAAAAAAAAAAAATCTAATGAGACGTTTGTGGGCTTAAAATCAAGGTAAACCTTGATTGTTAAATCAGTGATAGTTAAATCAGTGAAGTTACCCCTGGTTACCCCGGTTTAGAGAAAATCAGATTCAGCATATGAAAACTGGTAAGAAACAGAACCTGTATATACCTGGATAAGGAGCATTTTTTGTCAGCCTTTTGAGACATTATGACCATGTCAATATTATTATATTTAGAGATTTTAGTATTTTTGTGACATAGGTAAAAAATGTAATCCCTTTTCTAAAAGAACAAGTAAGAAACTAGAGATAATAAACCAAGATTCTTTCTTACTCAAAATGACCATTATAACATAATAGATTTTTCTTTATATGAGAGGTCAAATTTTAATGTATTTTTTTTTATTTTATTTGCTTCCCAAAAGATTTTTTTTTTCATTTCAGCAAGGAAAAATGCAGTTTTCAAAGCATAACTGTAATTTCAGTTTAATATAAGTATCTCACTATTTCTTTTTTTTATCCCTTTCTTAAAATCATAGTTCCTGCTGTTACTATGGTGGCCTCCTCTGCAACAATGTGTTGCAATTGCCGCCCCTGGCCTTTGCTGCCAAGCTGGAGCAAGGGCATTGGAGGGAGATGAGCCTGAAAATAACAGTGAAAGAAAAGGATAAAGAAAGGATTAAAAACTAGGCAGAGTGCAAGACCTAGTTGTCAATAAACCAAGGTGGTGCTTTAAACGCTGGAGTTTTTTCTCTCCTGACTGGAGAGGAAACCATCAGTTTGACAAATGTAATGATGGCTAGTATGCAGTCACTACACTAACAACTGTGCTGTATACTTGATCACATCCAAGACAAAACAGGTATTTCCTGGAAGCCTAAGCAGACTTAACATGAGATATCTCAGCTATTAAAAATATCCCTGTACAAGCTGACAGCTGAATAACAGCTTTACAGACAAACCAGAAGACTCAGGACTTCATAGAAAATCTCCCACGTACCTGGTGACAGGACAAGGGGGAACAGGCTAAAGTTGAGCCAGGGGAGGTTTAGGTTGGATATTAGGAAGAACTTTTTTACTGAAAGGGTTGTTAGGCATTGGAATAGGCTGCCCCCAGGGAAGTGGTGGAGTCACCATCCCTGGAGGTCTTTAAAAGAAGTTTAGATATAGAGCTTAGTGATATGGTTTAGTGGAGGACTTGTTAGAGTTAGGTCAGAGGTTGGACTCGGTGATCTTGGAGGTCTTTTCCAACCTAGATGATTCTGTAATTCTGTAAAATGTAGAAAGATATAAAGGCAGATATCCTGACAAAAACTGAGAAAAAAAGTCCAGGACTTCTGCTGATAATTTTTGCCAAACTTGTTATTTTTTTTTTCAAAGAAGTTTTCCTGGGGCTGAACCCCATGAGCAACATGGATTCTGAAATATATATGTCTCCGTGGCATCAGCACCTATGGTATTACTTTAGGACTGGCTATAAAATTATCAATGTCATCCATTCTCTGGCAGAGAAAGACCCATACAAATAAAACCACACTGTAAGTTTCTTACCAGGCTCAAGTCCCTCATATAGGTTAAGTATTAACATTAATTTTTGTTTCCCAGTAATTTAAATGAGAGCTCTTTCACTAAAAGTACTGAGCCTCTCCTGTAACTTAAGTGTTCATTGAACATAATTGACTCAGCTTCATACTTTCATTTCACAGCAACATATTTGATTTTAAAGGTAGTTTTCTATCTCAGTTGTGTTGCTCTGATCAAAGTCATATAATGCTTTATAAGAATGACCAAATTTCTGCTTCTCTTCATTTAGTATTGTTTGTAATTAAAACATGCCTACAATTGTTAGAAAATATAAAAATCAATTGTTATATTATTTCCTTCTATTTATTAAAGTCAGAATATCTCTGTGGTTAGCAATATAGTAATGAGTACAAGGCACGTCTTCTGCAGCAACAAGGAGCTCACTGGCACATTCATAGTTAAGACTTAAAATTGAATTCAGAATTTTCACATTCTACAACAGGTCAAACAAACAGACCCTCCCAAATTCACAGGAGTGACCAGTGAAGCAGGTGGCACGGGCAGACCATCAGAAACAGCCTACAATCACAACAAACACTGTGTGTGTTCCTCCACACTGGTGACCACCAAATAGCTTCAAGGTCAGTTCACATCATTGATAATCATGTGAATTCCAAAAAAAAAAAAAAAGAAAAAAAAAATAAGAAAAGAAAAAAAAGAAAAAGCTATGTCCATTGCTAACAGAATGAAAGCCAAGTGAGGTAACCAGGCTCCTTCAAGGAAAGAGTCACTATTCAGACAAAAAGGTGAAATCAAGTTGTAATGAAGCTTAGCAGAGTTGGTTGGGAAAGGAACTGCATAATACATGTAGAAGACAAAAGCATTTTCAGTTTCATCCTGGTTGTAGCTTGCTTTCAAATTTGCAGGGTTTTTTTGTTTGTTTGTTGGTTTCCCCCTCTGTTTTTCATAATAGAAACTGCAAGAAAACACTCAAAGCAGTATCTTTTCATTTCAATATAGATAAATATCTTTTCCTTGTATGCCAGGAAAAAACTTTATATTTTGTGTATTCTTGAAGCTTTTTGTATTTTCAAGGCTTTGAATGTTCTGATTTATGAAAGTTTTTTAAGATTGCAAAGTATCTAATGCTCTAAAAGCATCAAGCATTGACCATTGTGACACATTTCTGAAAGGAAAATATTGGAATAAAAATGTTTTTGGATCAGTAAAAACTTTATGTTGCAACAAAATTGCTTCACTTCAGTTTTACCTTTTTCCATAATTTAGCAGACATTCTGCTAAAGAAGCTTTAAAATGAACAACTGAATAATGTCAGGTGTTTTTTCTGTTTTCCTACGAAATAAATTTCTGGAGAAATATAACTTCATGAAGCATTTCCTGTTTAATGGATTTACTTTTTACAAGAACAAGTATATGGAGTTATACATAAGAACCATTTGCCTCAATATCCTGTCTTGGAAAGTGGTTGGTATGCTTATGGAATTATGTATAAGATGGAGAACTCATAAAGTGTAATATTTCCCCTGGTATGCCATCTCAGTTTCCAGCAATTAGGTAACAACTTCCTAAGCTGGAGATCTCATCTGGACCATCACTCTCTACCAGCATTGATGCAGCTACAACTCGAGAAATTATCCAGTCCGTTTCTGTTGAATACTGTGGTTTTGACCATACAGGAATTGGTGCTGTGGGAGCAGCACCAATTTGTGGCCTCATATATCTTTCTTTTTTTCACTTACAAGAAACGGATTACACATTCAAAACAATTCTTCTAGTTCATGCACCATTTTATAAAGTCGTGAAGGAACAGAAATATACAAAAATGAGGGCGCATGTGAAAAAGGGAGACTGAAAGAAGGATTGAAGTATATTAAATATACATAGGCATAAGAAAGTACTAAGAAAGTTTTGAATAAGGATGAGTGAAAGAATGGTAAGAAAGAAAGCTTGCTAGAAACATGAAAACAGCTTTCAAAAAGATGAAATCATGCATATTCTAATTAATATAAAAAGGGGGATGAAATTCCAATGTATCAAATGTAAAATGTAAAATAAAAACAAGACAGACCAAAACGAAATCTGAAATAAAAACTCATATTAAATCCTTTAAACACAACAGAAGAAACGCAATGCATGGTAAGTAGGGACAGACAACGATCAGGATTTGATGCTAAACAAACTCTTTGTCTTAACATTCCCTGTGGAAATAACTGAACTCCTTGTTCTTGGAGTGCGCTCAGCAGAGGGCCTGTCCAGAATTGAAGCGATTGTAGGAAAAGCTGTGGAAGAAACTGACAAAATGAACACTAAAACAAATTGCCAGGCCTGGATCGTATCCTCCCAAGGGTTCCAAGAGAAATAGCTGAATTAATAACAGCGCTACCTAACCTCTGGTTTAAGAATCCCATAGCACCTGAGGACTAGCAAGTGCGGTAGCAGATTTTTTGAAAAAGCTCCACGGGGACCAAGAAACCCCCAAGTCTGAGTTCTTTACTGGGAAAATTAGCACTAGTGCACACCAAGTGCACAACTTGAGAAATATGGTCTGTCTGGGAAAAGCTAGCATGGCTTCACTAAGGTGAGGACTTAGTTGTTCAGTTCTCATACATGTGAAAAACTTCAATTCTCATTTGTTTTATTCTACAAAAATGCAGAATAAACTAGACATTAAGAAAAATAAATTAAAATATCTTTTTGGCATCTAAGAATTTTAAAATGTATATATTTCCCCTCATAAAATGGATTATACTTTTATTTTTTAACATATTTGTCTATTAATGGTAGGTCTTTTTTCAAAGCTCTTAGGAAAGTAAGGTTTCCAGCTTTTTGAGTAATTAGAGGTCAGTTTCTTTTGTTCCCAAGGATATTCATAATGCAAGAAGAAAAGGAGAACGGAAAAGATGCAGAGTCTATTACTTTCCTGGCCCAGCCCTGACTAAATTGATTTAGCTTAAGGGGCAGTCTACTCCAGAGCCATTACAAGAGACACCTTCACTCTTTGAAGATCTCCAGACCAGCTCTGAACTGGCATTGCTTTCTTTTTCCCTTTCCGTTCTCCCCTGATCTTTCTCTCCATGTCCCGGCCAGCAAGAACAGAATCATCCTGGCTGGAGCCTTCCTAATTCTCTGAGATAGGCAATTCCTCACAAATTCCTCACTGTACTTTTTCTCAGTTGAAAGTTAGGATTCTTATTCTATTGAAGCCTCCTGACTGTATATAGGCTGCAGAAGTCAAACATATTTTTCCCTGTCTCTCTATATTCAGTGTTTTGCTGTGTGATGGAATTTACAAGGGAAAACTGGCTGTGTATAATTTGGAAACACAGAAGGGTCATGTTGTCTCCTTACAGTTTTACCAGTCTTCTCCCTCTCTTTGACCAATAAGCCATTATACACATTACTTACTTACATTCATTGTTCTTTCATTTAAACAGCCAGTCTTTATGTTCACCTGACACTTTTAAAACTAATTTACAGAGAAAGGGCAATTCTAGGTGTCATATTTTGGAAGGTTTTAGCTTTTTAATCAGGAAATTGCAATTGAGCTGTTGCAATTCCACCTCACATATTTATTACCTCTGCTTTAAATATACAGAAAAAGTATTGCACATTTCTGCCCTTCAGAGGTGTTCAGCTGCAGTGAGCTGCTCTAGTTGCAGTTTGCAGCAGACCTTAAGCCGAACTGGGCTGGCCAAGTGGAAATAGCTTGAAAGAATTCACAAATAAGATTTGTTTGACCAATTAATAAAATGTTTTTTCTCTTGCTCCTTTAAAGCACTAATTTAAGAAAAACCCGTTCTACAATTATCAAGCCCTGATTCTGAAAAACATTTCATGCCTTGATCTTGTTGCTTTATTCCCAAACAATCCTATATCTCCCTGTGCCTTGGCCAGGGCTCTACAGTGCTGCCCCAAACCCAAACCCTCTTCACAAGTGTTATCTGGAGTAAGTTCCAGCAATGGAAATAAGAAGCAGCCAGGGTCTGCAGCAGAACAGCACCCCAGGACCTGACAAGTACATGAGGTGGAGAAACCAGGCCGAGGAGCAGCATCCCCATGTCCTGGGGAACAGAGAAGGGGGAAAACAATATAGCAGGTCTCCAGAGACTTTCTACAAGATTTCTCCTCTAAGAAATAGTAGGACATTGAGGTGGACAGAATCCACTGAATCTTCATTGTCCTCAGGCCCAAAAGTTTAACAGTACAATAACAATATTAAGTTTCTCTTTTTCTCCCAACTGGTGTTGGTAATCACTAACATTCTCTTTAAAGGATTGTAAGTACAGAGGAATGTTCACTTTAAAAAAGTATCTGTCCACACCCCAAAATATTTTTACTCAAGTAAACTGTGCATGTCTGAATACCACAGATTAGAGAAACCCTGTGCTGGACTTGGCAAACATTTATTTTGACAGACAAGTTAGTTGCCTGTTCAGTCCACAATGACTGAGTAATGGTAATGAATGGAGAACCTCTATGGTGGGGAGGAGAGCTAGAAGGAGTGAAGGGTTTGCATGAGGGGAGCTCATAAGCTCAGTGTTTTGAGCAGTAGTATGAGAAGGAGAGAGACTTTTTCTCAGTGCACATTCAGAGTCAGAGAGGATCCTAGCAAAGATTTTGGCTGGGCTAACTAAGCTGACCAGGTCGTGCTGAATATTCCCATCTGCTATTTACAGTAGACAACTTGGTACTGCTAACTGTGTTTCACACATTTGCATCCAGCCTGTTGGCCCTGGGCTTCATGAACACTGCAAGCTTTTTCCCAAATTTAGTATATCAAATTCAGAGACTGTTTGGCCTCATCCAAAAAAAAAAAAAAAGAGACCATTAATACAATTGTTTGGAACGATGATACAGTAATATTGTTTCTCATATTTAATCCTGAAAATGGGAGATCAGGCAAATCAGACAGCCAAATTCAGGGAGTATTTGTTGCTGCTAGAAAATGCAATTGGGATTTTGAAAACTAAGACCGTAGGATTTTTACTTATTTATGGTAATAATTTTATGTTTTTCTCAAGGCTTATGTTGTCAAAAGCCCAGTGAATTCTGCCTTTTATTCAGCTCTGGTGATAATTATAACAGTCAAAAACTCCAAGGGAGCATTCTCCCTTGCTTCCCCTGGCACTCTGGAAATCATGGATAGTTTCTCCGTTTCACCGTTGTTTCTCATAAAACACAAGCTGCTGAAACAGCTTTGTTTTGTCCTTTGTTATCCTTCACCTGCCCAACTTCATTGAACTGAAATTTCCTGTAGTGGTCATCAAGCTTGAAGAAACTTTATAAAATAATCATGTGGATTCCAAAGAGGAGAGGGAAGGTTCCCTTGGGCTTTGTTTCGTGCTCCAAGGAAGGGATTCTGCCTGGGGCTAGAGTCAGCTCTGTGCTGCTCTTCTCCTCTGAACCACACTGACCTTGGGCAAGCCTGGACTTCTGAGTGGGCATTGCAGAACAAGAATACAAATATCGTTTCTATAAGGGCTGTGAATTTTAATTAAATCCTACAAAACTCTTTGATAGCTGTTAAGTAAAGCTCTGTGAAATACAAATAAGTAGGAAAAGGTATGCAAAGGAAGAAGGAATTATAATATATGTGATTAGCAACATGGTATGCTAATGTATTAGCATCAGATCATTCACATACAAAGTAACGCAATTTTAAAGGGATTTTCACAAATTATGAATCAACATAAGTAACATTTGTTGAAATTCCTTGTCCACAATCTTATAACTTACAAACCATTTCAATATAAAAAAAGTTAAAAACTTCTTCACTGAATGCCTAATGAAAGTTATGCAATTAATCACAAGCCAAAATCAGTAAGTGTGAGGAACTAACAGGAAGTTGCATGCACGAATCTACCAACTAAATTAGAATGGTGGATATGAACCCTCTTTTCTTCTTTTTAATAAAAGTGACTAATTTGGTTAGAGGGTAAGATGAACCATATCATCATTTCTTATCATTGGAAGACAAATTACAATAATGAGATTCAATAATAGCTCTGATGAAAGCAATTAAAAGGTGTTTATGACACCTTTAAAGTTAAAGGTGTCTGTCCAAAGTTATGATTTCTGTGATTCATTACTGTGTTTGCATTAAGACATATGCATACTTAGTTTTATTCCATTAATATTCTGCTCCTAAACAGCTATCAGTGCATTTCAGCAAGGAACATCTGCTAAAAGCAACATCAATCATTTTATCTAAGGAAAACAGAAGCAGAAAAGTTGTCTGATATGACCCATTACATATAAATTTTCAAAGAGCAGTCATAGCACAAACTTGCAGCATCAAGTTTTAGAACATCATCATGTCTGCATCACTATTTACAGAAAACTAACATGGGAAGAGGTGAATCTTTCCTGTCTTGTAACAAGACTCCAGAAAATGACATGAGCAGGCATAAAGGGGGATGTTCTGTTAAACAAGCTACAATGATATGATTCCAGATAAGTATGTTGAAGATAGCTAGACAGAGTTATGTATTTTTAATACTGTTCATACGAAAGTACTTACACTTGATGTAGACCCCAATAATATTTTTTTCTGTCTCCTTAGGTGTAGACAGTGGAGCATTTCAAAAACTTTTCTTCTTTCTGAGAAGTTTTTTTCTTCCTATATAGAAAACTAATGCTGAATTATCTAAGTTGATAATGCTTCTTAGCTCTTTTGGTAATTATTCACTTCAGGATCATTATCATTTTTTCCTTAAGGAAGAATCTTACAGAAGAACTATCATTTTTCATTGAAAAGAACGTGTATATTCTTGTGTTACAGCTACTTACTATATTTTTATGTCATTCTTATTTTTCTTGAATGGGTCTTGCTCTACTCTAAAGATGGAATAACACTGGAAGAGCTGCAAAATGTACTGAGTGGGGTCAACTTGGTGAGAAAAAAACTGGTTATATAAATAATTATTTGGTCATTACTGCATTTTATGGTTCATTTTGTACTTGTCTTAAGGTTTTGTGAACTGTAAAACCCTACCTAATAAAATACAACTGTATAGTTGTTTCCCCAATGAGGAATACCCCAGTATTCCTCCACGCTCATATAGAAGACCAGGGGATAATTCAGTCGGTCAACAGCAAGTGTAACTTCATACAGCCATAATCATGTCCTTAACTCCTCCTTGTGAGGCACATGATAGCACCTAAAAAACAGAACTTCAAAATGCCTCAAATTTTCAGCCCACAGTTCCTCTTGTTTCTGCATATCTTGTCAATGTGGCATCCACAGGACAACACCACATCACATCTCAAGCAACCTTGCAAAGCTGCAGAGTGAAAAATATTGTCAGGATCATATTTACTGTCCCTTGGGTTTAGTGGGAGAACCCACAAAAGCGATTTGCTCTTCAGTGTTCCAGATCCAGAGCATCTTCTGACCTGTTGTATCTGTGTTTTAGAGGGACTTGGAAATATGAGGCTTATTATGTATATATGGTTATACATCTTGTACAAACACTACCTTTTGGGCTATGTTCTGAATTTTTACATCCTTTTGTATTCTGTGAATCATACCTTGGCTTGTGCCTATTGGCATCAATAGATCACTCAGAGGAATCCACTCCCATAAGGGGAAATCTACTTTCTGTGGAGAAATATGTCTGGAGTTTTTATATATATGTAGGATTTGCTATACACAAATCACAAGTAAGAATTTGAAGGTCTCAGTTGCAACTGAGTGTTGACACTGCTTCCTTCCAGAACCAGACAGCAATTGTATCTAAACAGATGTCATTTTCTCAAATTAAAATAAAATTTTCTCAAATAAAATAAAATAAAATAATAATAAAAAAGAGGTTGTTCTCTACAAGACATAGGAAGCTATCCTTTCATTCTCTTCTATATAAAAAAAAAAAGTCTTAGCTGGAATATTTCAGCAAAGGATTGAACTAGATTATCAAAGTTCCTTTTAGATCTATTACTACTGCTATTATTATTATTGCAATTATTATCATTGGAACATAGGAACTATATTGTGTGCTACAGCAAAATCTGTCTTGGGCCATGTAATATAGTCATAGGCAGCTATCAAGTCATACCATGCTTTCTGAGGCCTCTCTGTCCTATACCAGATGTGGCAAAATATTTTAACATGTAGAATATGTCATGTTCAACAGGCCCTTGAGAATCAGGAGGTGAGCACTTGGTAATCAGATTTGTCAGCAGTGGTGCTATGTCACTTTTATGAACTGTTCAAGCACTAAAGTTGGATCCATCAGTTAAATACAATTCCAGATTTTGGAAACACAGAGTTTGTATCAATAAAAGTTAACTGTTTTTCTACACTCATTTGTCTGATTAAAGACGCACAAACACATTTGCTATTACACTAAGTGAACTGACAAGAATTCAGTTTCCACCACGCTTACACAGACTTGGCAACAACGATGATTTTGGTCTCTTGAATAATTGTGTGCCTAAGGACCATGGCAGTGCTGATGCCTGCAGTGATTTTCCTGGCAGGGACTGTGTTCCCTTATTGCCTTATCTGTGCCGTGCAGAGCTGCAGTTTTGCCTTTTCTGCTTCCATCATCAGTAGCAAGAGATTTCTCAGATATATCACCTATTGCTTGTACTTTTATCTTCATTTAAGCTCTAGTTGCTCAAAATATGTCTATAATAGATAAGAGTATGGTAGGCTGATTTCTTAGACTGATTTTCTCTTGCTCACTGAAAACCTGCCTAAATCCTTCAGCCTGCCTTTATGGTTCCTAACCCATATTGTACCTTTTTATTGGAACATCTTTGTCTGCTAGTACTCCAAGATCTGCACAATTGCTAAAAATAATACAAATGAAATGCAGAATACTTGAATACTACCTGAAACAAACTAGAAAATGAAGCCCGTCTTTCTAAACGTAAATCCAGCATCTTATTTGGACATACTGAAGAGAATTTTGTTTTTGTCTGTTCAGTACTTTCTCAGGAATCTTCTGAGATAATGCTTAAACTATAAAGTTTTATTAAAGTCTGCGTGCATCACTCATAGCCTTGTTTTGTCTTTGCAAATACAATCGGCCACTAACTCAAGATGCAGGCTCTTCTATCTTCCCATTCATAAAGGTCTTCGCTTTCCCCTCTTGTCACAATTAACCTTTACTCTGCTGATTGGAGGAAATTAATTTTTTGTTGAAGAAGGATTGATGGAATAAATTACGTTTTAGTATTTAGAAAACATCAGCATATGTAGAACATGGTCTCTGCATACTACGCATGGTTCTTTGGCATTTACAGCAAACTCAGTTTTAACTGTCTTACTAGAACAGAAGGTTAATGGCTTAAGAGCAGGAATGCAACTGCATCTCCTGTTTAGAAAGTGACATGATTTATTAAAATATATTTGAATAGTTGCACATATTTGTACTGCTTTTCTGTCTGGAACATTAAATGAATTTTGCTTTAAACTTCTCTGCCATTTCCATACTTAAAATAAAACATAATTTCCTTAGGATAATATTACATTGTGCTTTTCTATTTATTTTAAATCACATGGTTCTGTAATTAGTGTTCCTCTCTGCTGAAGTGCTTTATTTTTCATTACACTCAACAGATCTGAATTGTTACTATGTTGTTCCTTCAGCATTGATTGTAAGACTTATTCTCCAGGAAATTTTGTTTTGATCATCTGAACAAATGCTGAGTGATCCTGTGGCTCATTTCCTCATCTATTTAATGGAAATTTTGTCAAGTCAGAAATCCTTTTTGAGGTGGGGAAAAAAAAAAAAAAAAGATGCCCAAACAGATGTACTTCACTCTCATAATTGGCTTAGAGCAATAGACAAAACAGACAACTAACTTAAAGCAGCTGCTTTGTTTTAGAGAGCTAAAATAAGATAGCATAATACTAATATATCCTACCTCAAGAATTCAGCATTTCATAGACTTTGTGTTTTTGAGGGATGCTTTCTTGTTTCTGCTGATTCTACTGGCGTGAGTTAAAGTTAAACAAGCTTCCTTTTAACAGTACTCAGCTGAGTGCAATCACACTCTGTAAACAAAACTGGCTTAAGATTTTCTCCTTTCAAAAGGGAGAAAAATTTGAAGATTTATTACACATACAGGTTGTCTTTTCTCAAACAGTTATAAATGTCCTCTAATAAAAGAGCAACATAATTGCCAATTATGCCATTAATAACTTTATGATTCATTACAGACATATAAAAAATTGTCTCAGGCTATCATTGCCTCTACCTCTGAGTCAAACTGTGTTTTTAATATATGACCGTGTTCCACACTGGTCTGAATGTCTGTGCAATTTCAGCTGCAAGACTTACTAAAGTGTCTGCACTTTTGTTTATACGGTTTCTTCTGTGTTATATTCTTTTGCTTCAAAGGTAGCTATCCCAACTGATTTACTATTTAATACTACAAATATTATGCAGAGCACTTTTCAGGCTTCTGTGCATTTGTTATTTGTATTTTGAATCCATTCAGCCTTAAAAGAGCCTAAGTCTAAATGTAAGTGGTCCTACAGTTGAAGGTGTACTTGTTTTAGGGGATGGAGTCCCACAAGCTGTGTTTTTACTTCAAGGATAGGTGAGAACAGTGAGCATGCAGTCCTGCTTTATTGATCACATGGACCGTGCGTATGTGCCCAGGCTCCTGTTAAACTTGGCATGGAAAGGAGTAAGTTCACATATCACCCAAATGCTGCCATTCAAACATTCAGACGGGATCTCACCAGTGTGCCTCTGTACTTCTGGAATTGTCTCCTCAATTGTACTTACTTTTTAGATATAATTTAAACCAAATTCCATGTACAATATAGCTCTCAGGAAACACTAACTAAATGCATTGTACAGCCAGAAATACTTGCAATCCACAGCCAACTTGGTCTTAAGAAATATACTCCCTTTGGATCAGCTGCAGAAAATGAAACTCTATCAACTGTAGGACTTTCTTTCTTCCTTTAGGTCTGTTTAGCATCATTCAGCTGGATCAAGCTCCTTTATATATCATGAAAAAAACATTTTGAAATCTATCCAACATTGTTTTACTAAAGAGTCAGCCATTTCTTCACTCAAAACATGAAATATACCTGATTAAATTATGCTCATATGTGCATCATAATTACATAAATGAAGGTAATGATTTTTAAAGTACCAAAACTTTGATTAAACTAATTAATCAAAGATAAAGACTTGACCTATGAAAATCAGGAAGATCTTTTCCCCCACACCCTTGGGTAAAGTCCTAACAAAGGAAATGGTCTTAAAGTTCAAATAGGACTTAAAGTTCAGCATGCCTTAAAGTTCAACAATTTCTTGACAATAAGAAAACCTAACTCCAGGGTACAAACCTATTAGAAACTGAGACACCAGTTTACTTGGAATATATTATGGATCACAATTTATTGCCAGACATCAGACATTTCTTGCAAAACTTTATTACTATGAAAATATCAGTGCTTTTCATATGGCTATCCCTTTCTGAAACTTGAGAAACTTTATACTTTCATTTATGTGTTGAGAAAATTAGTTGATACTTCACAAGTTTTTCCGTTCTCTTGAAAAGCTATGTCTCAAAGTCCCTTTTCTAATTTGGGGGAAAAGTAAATTAATACCTCATTTCCAAAATAAATGAGAAGAAACAAAACAAAATAAAAAATAAAAAATAAAAAATAAAGGAAAAAAAGATGGAAGGTCTCAGTTCAGTGATTCTGCAATGTCACTTAATGAAGGATGAATCTTAGATGAAAAAATCTGCAATCAACACCATTTCCTCAAAGAGGCTAAGCGTTCAGTAGAGTCAAACGGGCACATGACTTTTGGAAATCCATCCTAGAATTGTGATTTTTTTTGATTCGCCACCTTAAGACTTTAAAAATAATGGACAGCTATATATTTTAATCTCAAATACATGTATGACTGACGCTTTGTCTGTTAACTACCTCAACTTGTTGCTTTCTTTAAAATCTTATTAAAACTATCTGTAACCACTTCTGTGATGAAAAGACACTGAATTCTACATAAATATCTATAAAGAATATGAAAAAGTACAGTATACATTACAAGTAATTTTTATATGAAATATCTATCTTGTGTATAGAATTTTGGCAAAAGAGAAAAGACATCCATATGATAGACAGCAGTGTAACTGTATTATTCAAAACATGTGGGAAATTCCTAGCACATACTTTTCTTCCTGACACAGTTGTTCTTTAACAGCCATGAGTACTTCTTGATTATCTTGTTTGTTACCCATGTGTGAAGAGATAACATCAAACAGAATTGATTTTGTGAACAAATCTACTTCACAAAGTGCCCATGTCTCCTTCTGCAAGTTGCAGAAAAATCAGAGCTTTTTCATCTGAACATCTGTCATCAAGAAAAGTTTTGAAAACACCCTGCCACATCATCTGGCTTCTTTTGTAAAGATCTCTTTGTGGATACATGAATGATTACTCATTTTCTTCTCCGGACTCAACTTCCCTTTTAAATGTGGCTAGGATATCAAGTGTTCAGTGGAAAAGAAACCTTGATCAAGTTTAAAGCAGGACAGTTTGGAGTCGCCATTTGTTAACACATCAGCAAATTCCTTTCAGGAACGTGTTGTTCAGCATATTATACTCCAGGATCAATTTGTTCTTGTAAACTAGGGTATGAATCATTTAATCAGAGTGCGGGACTTCTGAAATCACTCTAGCAGTTTTCAAATCTTGACACATTGTGTTTTTCCTGTGCCTGGCATTGTCAATGCCATCTTCAAATATAGTTGATACAGATACAGCTGTAGGATTCCACATGAAAAACATGCTCTTTACTGTAGATATAAAGAATTGCCCTGCAGTGCAAAAGTGTGGTATGAACCAGATTACATTTATGTAATTATTACAATTACAATTATATAATTAATAATTATGGTTATTACACACCCATAAATCAGTCCTGATGTTCCTGGTACCTATTCCATTTGAAGCACCAGCTGTTTCATAGGTCTTTCAAAGAAATCATCGACAAAGTCTATAAACACATTGTCTGTCTTTATACCACTTTATCAACACCTGATTCCTCTGTAACAACCTTTCTATCTATCAAAAGTCAGAATAAACATGGTGTTCTAATCTGATCCCTTTGAATCAAATCAGGTTGGCAGACTCTTCTTCAAAGACTATAAAAGCTGAGCATTTATACTGGGCTTAACATAGTTAAGCCTTGGTTTTGCAACAAACTTTTGGACATCTGCTCTCTGCTCTACTGCCCTAATTCCACATATGTTGAATTTAATGGCAAAACTACAATTAACTCCAGATGCCCAGTAACTGAGGTGGTATATGCAAACTAAATTGGGAATTAAACCTGAAATAGCAAGTTAAGCAACAGAATTATAGCAAGACCTTGGGAATGAATAGCTCCATCTACACTGATCTAAGGAAGAAGAAATCTCACATTTAATACATATGTTTATTTATTTATTTATTTATTTTTCCATATGAGACTTTACCAGACAAATTTCCTACGATTGGTTGCTTGATAGGGAAACTAGGGAGACTATGAATTTTTATTTATTTGTTTATTTATTTTCTTGGAGTAATCAAAATAATCAATGATTGCTTTGGACCAATTCAGTTAAAGAAAAAAAACATTAAGATTGCTTTATCCATGAGCCTGGTGATGCTAGAGAAACCTGCATTTCCTGCTAAGATGAAAAAGACCAGGCTCTTCATTTGCACTGTACGTTTATATTAGATTATATGAATATCTCTGAACTCCAGTGGATTCATTTACACTTCAGCTGTAAATACAGAGAGTCTCCTACTGAAACAAGTGTCTCCCTGCCTATATTATCTACATGCCAGATTCCCCTTAGGGAAGGCTGCTCAAAGTCCTGTTGATATTCTTGTGGTGTTATGTTCTTCTAAACCAAGCTTCTGAGAGCCAGTCCAGCATGCTTGCTCAAGTGTGAACAGATCTTCAGTTTATCTCTCTGTTTCTGAAATAGGAAATATTATAGTTCTGCAAGAAATGCCCTTATCAATCTTATGAACTTGACATTTGCATAAGGGTCAATCAGAGGTCTCTAAAACACGTGCCTCTGGACAATCCTGTCATCAGCTGTAGAGGGATCCTGTCCTCACAGTTTGTTCTTGCTATAGCTCTTCAAAGGTGATGAAGAGATAGCCCACTTGGAGCCTACATCCAATAACACTGCCTGCAGCCTTTTGACCAGCAGGTGTTCATCACAACCAGGCATCTTCTGTGGGAATAAAACAGAGGGAAAATCATCTTTATCAAGTAAACTGTCATTTTCTCATCAAGCTACCAAGACAACAATTATCTTAAGCTATTTATCTTCCCCCAAATAGTTGAAAATGTATTCCTTAGCAGAAACTTGGATTAAATTTTGATTTTACTGGCATAAATATGTATTGATTCTGTTAACAGTCCTGGACATACTGTTATGTAATTGAAAGAAGAATTGGGCCCTTGATATTAAGACAGCCTTAAGCCAGATTTCAGATTCTAATTAGGTACCCACTGAAAGGGAAAAAGTGTTAGTTATGATAAATACTGACAGAAAAGTAGCTACACAAGCCAAGCACTCCCAGTGTAATAGTGCTATCCACCTGCACCTGTGCCAAACAGAAGACAAATGTAGGACTGTGAAAAAAAAAGGGGGGATCAGGAGGCTCAGACAGCAAAGAAACAGAAGGACCATTTGTCAAGAAATGGCCTCTTTGTTAGTCAAAAATTGGCTATGAAAAATCCTGATGTGTAATGGATCTATACAACATTTAGGACTAACAGATTGAATGATCTAGCACAGCTTCATAAGTCAATTGTCATAGGGAATCTATTGTTTATGAAGGTTTCTCCTATGACTGGGAGGAGGAAAAAAAAAAAAGAGAGAGAGAGAGAGAGAGAGAGCCTAGGATTTGTGCCTTGACTTCTGAAAACTCACTTCTTGCCTTAGATATA